GAGACAAATGTGAACAATGAAGTGAGGATATATATTGATGAGGTCGAGGTGGACACTCAAGAGGTCGTGAACCCGTCTAGGGAGCACATAATTGACATGCCGGAGCCGGTGGTGCCAAAGCCAAGTCACCCTTTCCTAGACCACNTGCTCGACCTCCACATGTTCCTATCAAGAGCCACGTCCTCGGAAATCTGAAGTCGCGCCATGTCCTGCCTGATCACCTCGCCCCAATACTTCCTAGGCCGCCCTCTGCCTCTTCTCGTACCTGCCAAAGTCAACCGCTCACACCTTCTAACTGGTGCATCTAGGCTCCTCCTCCACACGTGTCCGAACCATCTAAGCGCGCTTCCCGCATCTTATCGTCCACGGGAGCCACGCCCACCCTCTCCCGAATATCTTCATTCTGAATCTTATCCAGCCTAGTGTGCCCACACATCCATCTCAACATCCTCATTTCTGCTACTTCATCTTCTGGATATGTGAATTCTTGACTGGCCAACACTCAGCTCCATACAACATGGCCGGTCTAACCACCGCTTTATAGAACTTACCTTTGAGTTTCGGTGGCATATTCTTGTCACACAGGACTCCAGACGCTAACCTCCATTTCATCCACCCCACTCCTATACGGTGCGTAACATCCTCATCGATCTCCCTGTCTCCCTGGATAATTGACCCTAAGTACTTAAAACTTTCTCTCTTGGGGATGACCTGTGAGTCAAGCCTAACTTACACATCTGCTTCCCCCGTCACATTGTTGAACTTACATTCCACATATTCTGTCTTAGTCCTCCTCAACTTGAAACCTTTAGACTCTAGAGTCTGCCTCCATACCTCCAGTCTCCCATTAACGCCGCCTCGCGTCTCATCAATCAGAACTATATCATCAGCGAACAACATACACCATGGCACCTCTCCTTGGATATGGTGTGTCAGTACGTCCATCGCTATAGAAAATAAGAACGGGCTGAGTGCAGATCCTTGGTGTAATCCCATAACCACCGGAAAAGGCTCTGAGTCACCTCCCACAGTCCTAACCCGAGTCATAGCTCCATCATACATATTCTTTATCGCCCTAATGTAAGCCACCGGCACACCTTTCACCTCCAGACACCTCCAAAGGACGTCCTAGGGACCTTGTCATATGCCTGGCGATATGAAAATTCAAAAGGACAAAAAATAGGAGACTATAATATTGGTGAATATGCTAAAGAATCTGGATTTCCTAAATAGTATAGTTGAATTCCAGCTAAATAGTATGCTTAAGATTACGATTGAATAAATGTGCAAAACATGAGTCTGTAAGAACAATACATTTATAATCTACACATCTTTGAAAAATAGTGCTCAAATGGTTACACTCTAACTTTGCTTTTAGCTGCTGCAAGACCTAAAGCTTGTTGATTGTTACTTCGTGTTTATATTTGTTTAATTTGTATAGATGGCAGATACAAGTAGAGTAAGTGATGCTGGTTCAAGTGAAAGTTTACCTATTACGGTAGATAGTAACACCAACACCATTGATACTCAAGATTCCAAGAAAAGGAAAGCCATGCAACCTAGGTCTGACGTTTGGAACCATTTTGATAAATTTGAGGTTAATAGGGTTGGGAAAGCACGGTGTCGATATTGTAAGCAAGCTTATGCTGCTAATTCATCTAAGAATGGAACAACAGGATTAAAGAATCATTTGCTTAGATGCAAAGAATACCCACTTAACATTGATAAAGATAATAGTCAAACAAAGTTAAATTTTCAATCTTGCCAAAATGATGAAGGATCACTTTGGAAATTTGATCAAGAAGTGGTTAGGAGGGCCTTAATTGAGATGATAGTTATTGATGAACTACCATTTAGCTTTGTAGAAAATGAAGGCTTTATGAAGTTTATGAGAAAAGCTCAACCACTATTTTGTCTTCCTTCTCGTAGAACAATAACAAGGGATTGTTATGAAGTTTACGGTGAATTGAATCTAAGAAGGTCTTTTAGAGAAGCACAACCAAAAATGGTGCCTCACAACAGACACATGGACTTCCTTACAAAGAATAAATTATATGTGTTTGACAGCCCACTTCATGGATAGGGATTGGATGTTGCATAAAAGAATACTAAATTTTTGCCCTATCACTAGTCATAAGGGTGAAGAGATGGCTCAAGCTATTAGGGATTGTTTGCTTGAATGGAAATTACACAAGGTTTTCACTATTACCGTGGACAATGCTTCTTCAAATGATGTCACAGTCAAAGAATTGTCTAAACAGTTAGATATGTGGAAAACTAATATGATGAGTGGTAAACATCTTCATGTGAGATGCATGGCTCATATACTAAATCTAATTGTGCAAGATAGTTTGAAAGAACTTGATGCTTCAATGACACGTGTTAGAAATATTGTGAGGTATGTGAGATCTTCGCCTGTAAGGACCTTAAAATTTAAACAGTGTTGTGCACATGTAAAGGTAGAATGTACCAAAACGTTGTGTTTGGATGTTCCTACTAGGTGGAATTCCACCTATTTGATGTTGGATACGGCACAAAACTTTGAAAAGGCCTTTGACAAGTTTCATCTTTTTGATGATGGATTTTCTACTTATCAATGTTCTCATCTTTGTGAAGACAGTAGTAGTGCATGTCCTCTTGAATCTGATGATTGGGTGAATGTGAGGAATGTGATAGAGTTTCTTGCAAGATTTCACGAGCTAACTAAAAAAGTTTCAGGTTCACGTTATGTCACTTGTAATTCTCATTTTGAGGATGTATCTGAACTTTATTGTCATTTGAAAATGTGTTTAGTTAGTGAGGATAGGCATTTGAGAAAAATGGCTGAGCGAATGCAAGAAAAGTTCAAGAAGTATTTGAGAATAAATGAAGAATGAATGATGAGCAATAAATATGAAGAATGACAATAAATGTAAATAGGAAGAACGATTCACCTAAATATTGAATGATGTGGAAGATTCTTCCTCTTGGCAACAAAATGTGGCAATAAGTAAGAAAATGAACAATGCTTTCTTGGATCGTGTGAGTAGAAAGGAAGAATAATAGACAAAATCAATCACTGTGGAAATGTAAACTATTGTATTTTCTCTTCAGTGTCAACTTCTTACAATAGTTTTTCTCAGAATGAATCTCACGTGCCTCTTTTCCTCTTTCTCTTTTTCTATTTATATGGGATGTTCTCTAAAAATCCTAAAAAAGTACAACAAAGAGAATATTCAAGGGAATATTCCTGTCGTTAGTTCCAAGACTACACTAGCCGTTGTTCCTACTCTTCGTTACTCGACCTCGTCTTTAACGACTTGCTCAGCGACTGCTCGTTGCTGGGCTTTGGTCGACCTCGGTCTGGCCGCCCAAATCGAAACACAGTCCTCTCACTTAACAATCTTCCTACGCTTAATTTCCTAAGCCGGATTTTGATCCATACAGGATGTGGAAAAGAATTTTTATTTTTTAAATAACTGCCAATCCTGCGGTGATTTTGGATGTCTAGGGATGTTATTGGTTGATGAAGAGGTGGTGGAGGAGACTATGTTGCAATGGATTTTGGGTTAAAATGGAGAAGAGCACTCTTCTTTCACTTTTTAATTTAATGTTTGTATTTTCTTTTTCTTTTTATCTTTATTTTAATCATTTTGGTTTAAATATTTATATATTCACGCTCCTTATACGCGTGCAATACACGTATTTTGTCAAATTCAACTGTTAAGTTGTCACATAGACTTGGTCAACGGTCAGAGGAGTTTAAAATGCTGACTTTGAACATTTATAAGTGTCTGGATGAAACTTTTGTTAAGTACAGAGACCGGAATGACAAACGCGAAATGTCTACTAGAATATTCTGCCAAAAGTAATACATTATATGTATCTTGTATATATATTTTTATTACTAAACTATAATTAATTGATGTATATCCTCACTCGGCTTTGTTAATCTTAAATCTCAAACTAAAGAGTGCGAATAATTGTTTTTATGATGACCCCACTAAACCTGTCATTATGCTCTATTTGCTACTGATGTTTCGTGTTGTGCCACTGGTTTTCCTTTGAGTACATATTTTTATTAGAATACAGTTTTACTTATTAGACAACGAGAATTTATAATAAAGAATTATAAGATTAGTTATGCTTAATGCCCGTGGACTCTGACCCACCAGTACCACATGCCTAACGCAACTTTCCCTATATTGATCTGTGCGGTTCTAATTATACGCCTAAAGTAAAGCTGTACTGATTTTTAAATATCAAATCGTTGTAATTCCTAATTTATCCTTCCCCTTTGGTAGATTGCGAGACTTATAGCATTTCGGTATTAATATTGATAGACACCCATAAATATAATTTAGCAGGTGACAAATGTTACTGTACTTATACTATTATGTGACAACTGGTGCGATTTTGTTATGCCTATACTTTGTTTTTATTTTTTCTTGAGCCAAGAGTCTGTCAGAATATTCCATTTGTGCTTCTAGCCTGGGGTAAGATTTGCATATACATTATTTTCCCGTACTCTATTTGTGGGAACTCGGATTGGTACGAATTAATTATAAATATAATATTAAGTAAATGTTCAATTATTTATGTGATTAAAGCCAAACAAGGAGTATGAATGTACATATTCCCAAAATGCTAAGTTTATTATTGTATGTACAGAGAGGAGGAAGAACGTACAGAGAAAAATGAAAGAGAATTTTCTTATATGGAATAATTGTTTTTTTGCGGGTAAATGATATTATCAATAATTGTGGAGTACATTTGACCATTAATTTTTCAATCTTCTATTAATTTTCCTTAGTTGCTCCTAGTTCTGCTATTTCCCTATATACATACTTCAATACCTTTTTTGCTTAAGTGGAAAATTGGTGTAATTTCTACTCTCTTCCAATAATTTTTCATCTTCATATATTCGAAAAATATCAAAGAAAAAGAATCAAAGCAGAACCCGAAAGGGTAATTACGTCATTTCAACATTCATTTCTATTTTAAGCTGTTCCTAGAATATAGCCAACCTCAGACAAGAGTCCCAACCCCATTTATCCGCCTTAGTTCTCTGATTTACTTACTTTTTCCCTAACCAAAAAACACCGAACAAAGTAGTAAGTATTATTAAAGATGGCAGGTTATAGAGCAGATGATGAGTACGATTACTTATTCAAGCTAGTGTTGATAGGAGATTCAGGTGTGGGTAAATCAAATCTGCTTTCAAGGTTTACTAAAAACGAATTCAATCTGGAGTCTAAGTCTACAATTGGCGTTGAGTTTGCTACCAAAAGTCTCAATATTGATAACAAAGTTATTAAAGCTCAGATTTGGGATACTGCTGGCCAAGAAAGGTTAAGTTTCCTCCTTTTTTTTTAAAAACAAAGAAATCCCTGATAAAATCTTTTTTTTTTCTTCTGGTAAGTATACTTTAGATATCTCTGTCTCTTTTTGTGTTTGTGTATGTGTATCTGGGGTTTGTTTATTTATGCTTTTGTGGCTTTAGTTATAGTGCTTTTGTTAATTGGTTACATGATCTTTGTTGAACTCTAATAACCGTTTATATTGGTGTGTGAGCTTTTTATTTATTTATTTGTATGAAATCTGCAATATATTTAAGTGTGGGGTTCCAGAGTGGTAGTAAGTGCTTGCTTTTACATGTTTTCGCGCTTTAGTCAAGTGAAAGTTGCTTGTGGCTTTGTTGTTTTAAGCTTCTTTTTGTAGGATTACTCAATATTGTTTGTGTTTATTGATATTGTAAATGAGTGTGTAGATGTGGTTTTGTTGCTTGAATGGGAATCCTGTGTAGTATATGTATTACTATTTGAAATTTGAGGGACATGGAAGTTGCACCGCCACCAATTATAGAACTTACTTTCTACATGTTTTGCGAAGGCTGTTTTGAAGACATAATTAATTACAATATTACATATAAAAGTGTGTTGTTTCTAATAGGCTTTTAGATGAGGTGATCACACTATTCAACACTTCCGCATGATATCTATACTCCTAGTTGTCTAGATGCTATTGTGGTGTCAATCTGAAAGCTAGTTTTAGAAATTTTTGTTTCCAAATTTGTTATTATGAGATTACTTGAACTTATTCAATTCGTGTACAAGTACATCGGGACGATATGTTTTCTAAATTCTAATATGACAAATAAATGACTGAAGCAACTCCTTTTCCCCCTCGTAATTTTTGAAATCCTTGGCCAGTTTGTTGTTTGATTGATTTCATAGCTTTTCATTTGCCAATTGAAAAGAGAAGGTTAAAAAAAAGAACTTTGTGTATACCAGAAGGAATTCAATCTATTACAGGCATGAGATGATGTGTAGAGCAAAACTAATTTGTTTTTCCCAACAGATGTTTACACTGAATATGAAATAGCTTTACCTTGAGTTTAGTATTGAGGTTTATAAGACATACAAAATGGGTTAACTAAAAGGAGTGGAAATACCTTTAAAAATCGAAGTGTATATTTAGTTGCAAAATAGATCGTCATTTTTGAAATATAGATCTTTGACATGGATCCTTCATTGACTTACATGTATCCGAATTGTTGAAAGTAGATTCTTTAGATGTACTACAAATTAGCGAAAAGTCTATATGTACACATAGAAGATACTTGCGCACATCATATGGAGTTAATGTTTGGAAATAGGTCTAACAAAGCTAGAAACTAAACCAAGCCCCTTCGTGGTTAGAATACAAACAAATAATTGAAGCCATAGTTGTAACTTTGGTACAGCTTAAAGTACTGACCAAAAAACTGAGACACAATTTAAGTAAAATTTGTAACTTAGGTAGCTTTTATAACGTTGGCGTTTGGGTCAATTTGTGCGCACCTTTACTATTCCACTAAATCCACAGTTACTTGCTAACCCCACTAGTACAGTTACCTAGTAACTCTGTACACTTCATTGAGTGTTAGGTCACATCCCTTGGTGTTCATAACCCTTTTCGTATATAAGAAAGAAAGGGAAGGGATGCAGTTGATATTTGATAAGGACAATTGAAAATAAAATCTCGTACAAGTCATCTCTCTGGTAGCGAACTCGAAGAAAGAAAAGAAATTTTGGAGAAGCAAAACCTTACTCTAGCACTGGTGCAACTCCAGTTTTAATTGTATTTGGTCAAAGCTTCTAGCCAGAAGTTAACAATGATGTAGAATCTCTTTTCTGTGTCTCACCCTAGAAAAATTCTTCTTAAAGGTTGTGTGCTTCTTGGTGACTGTTAGGTGTGAAAACTATGACTACCTCAGAACTTATGGCCATGAAAAAGTTCACTACTTTGTTGGTATAACAAATTTTTCACTTTGTCAAGTTTCTATTCTGAGATTTGGTACCTCAATTTTCTATTGTTAAGAGATTGGGTATATCTACAGAATGCCCTGTGAAAACTAAGAAAATAGGCACAAAGTAAAGAACATGCTTGGAGTTGAACTTCAGAAAACAACATCATTTTTGCCAAATGAAAAAATTCTTGAGATCAAGTTATCAAGAGAGTAAGAGACGAGAATGCTCAAGGATAGTTTGTATTAGGTTATTGGTTGGCATGATCGTGGTGAATTGAAGGTTTGGTCTTTCTTCTTGCAAATACATTAAGCATTGCCTCTGGTTATTTTCAATTTTGGACGTGGTTGACGTAATTAGCACAAGGCTTATGAATCATAAGTGTGTTTTACATGTCATTAGCAATGGTATCACATCATAGTTGTTCTTCCAGATGTTCTATGCTCATGTTTCTTACAAAAAGTACATAATAATTGGGTGCAAACACGGTGCAGTGTTAAATATAGGGTGATACAACATGTTTCGTAATTGTATATGGAGCTGGCATGATAAAACATGAGAACTGAATTAAGAGGAAGATGAAATTTAGTTAGCCCTGCTTGAATGCCCTTGGGTGGCTTTCTGATATGTTGCTTTGCCTTTATCCTACTCATTTCTTGTGAACATGTGCAGCATGCGTGTTAGTTCATGGCAGTGCTTTTGTTGGCACAGTCCAGCCGCTGGTTCATTGCTTTTTAGTGCCTGATATGTATTTGACATCTTGTGCATTTCTCAATGGCAAGGATGTGAAAGTCTGGACGAAATATTCATCATAATTCCTGCTTATTGCAAAGCCCATGTTTTGATATATTCCCTATTGGTGGTTGTATGCAAAACTTTTTCCTGAGATGAATAATAGTTCTAGCTTAAAAATCTTTGAGCAATTTCATCTCTTTGGGGAGGGGGGGGGGGGGGTAGATTTTCTTTTCTAGCTAGTTTGCTAAGGTGCAAGTTAAGCCTGATATATTTACCCCCACACTGTCCAACTTAACCCTAAAATAGAGCAGTGGAAGAAAGATAGAGTAGACATCAGCTTTCTGGTCCTTTATCTTCTGTCTTGTCTTGTGGTTTCTTCTCCTATTGTTTTTTCAGTGCGAGTTGTGGACTTATTTCTTTGTTTAGGGAGAATAGTTTGAGAAATAAATGTATAAAGTAAGTTAGTGTTTAAAACACATTTAAGTTACATCTTTGTCCCACTTTAGTATTTGTAACCTTTGATTTAGGTGTCTCTATAAGAGCTGAATTAATTGTATCTTTCACACAAAGTTAACTTTGTGAATTTCAACTTTTTAAGTAATAGAAAATGATCAAAAAGTTTTGTTAGCAATAAAAATAGGTCATGTTTTTACTTCATCAAAAAAAATAAAAAAAAAATAGGTCATGTATACTGGTATACCACAACTTTCAATATTTTTCTTTGTTAGTAAATATAATATTCGTATATTCAAGCTCAATTGCATAGGCAGTTGTTTGGATACTATGATCTCTTTTCCCTACGTTTTTCTTTTTCCCTCTTGGTGCCCCTTTCTCCCCCATTATTGATGTTCTTTGCTTATGGTGAATATGTAGTTGCTTGTATGTGATTTGTTGCTAACTGTTGTATAGAAAGGGAACAAATTGAACACGGGAACTCATGTAAATTAGATGTTATCATCTTAAGGTGTTATACTACTGCTTCATTTTTTCTTCTTCCCTACCAGATATCGTGCCATTACTAGTGCTTATTATCGGGGAGCTGTCGGTGCTTTGCTTGTATATGATGTCACTCGACATGTTACCTATGAGAACGTCACAAGGTGGTTGAAGGAGTTGAGAGACCATACTGACCCTAACATTGTAGTCATGCTCATAGGCAACAAGTCAGATCTCCGACATCTCGTTGCTGTTTCAACTGATGAGGCTAAAGGTCTGGCAGAGAGGGAGGCCCTATACTTTATGGAGACTTCTGCATTAGAAGCAACCAATGTGGAAAATGCATTCACTGAAGTTCTCACGCAGATATACCGGATCGTCAGTAAAAAAGCAGTCGAGGCTGGCGATGAAGGTGCTACTTCATCTGCTCCTCCTAAAGGAGAGACGATTAACATCAAAGATGAAGGATCTACTTGGAAAAAGTTCGGATGCTGTTCAAGCTAGGGTACCAGAAAAATGTGCAAGACAATACCTCAAGCTTTTTCAGTTGTAAATTGTCATTAAATCAATGATTTCGTTTGCTGGATTTAAGCTAGCCATGAGAATACACGAAGCAGTGTTCTCATGAAAAACTCCGAAGGAGCGGGTACTGTTGGTTTCTAATTACAGAATGTGCAAACAAGGTCTTAGTTTTATGTGTATTGGATGATGGCTTGAAAAAATTGGAGACACTGGCAAGAGCTTTCCAGTAACATGTTACCAATATATCATCTTTCGTCTGGATTGTCCCTTTGGTTTTAATTCGATTATTTTTTTGTCTATCTCTTGAGTAGAAATTGTTGTCCATTAATAGGGCAAAGATCAAACTGTTGATACTCTGCAGATATAGCATGTGAACTTCATTTAACAGCCGTTCCATATTATGGAGCTAAAACGCTTCATACTCAGAAATTCTCCATTGCCCATATTGCTTTGAACCCATCATTGCAATCTTTGTGTTTGAGACTCTTTTCGTTCATGATGTTAGGCATAGGATTAAGAAACAAATGATATAATATTTATTTTAGTTATAGAGAGGGCAGCCGGTGCACAAAACATCTTGCATTCACGCAGAGTCCGGGGAAAGGTTGCACCCCAAGGGTTGTGATTTAGGCAGCCTATCCTGATGCAAGCATCAATGGCTGATTCCACGGCTCGAACCTGTGACCTATAAATCACAATTTGACCATTGCTCCAAGGCTTCCCTTCGAATAAAAAAGTAATGTTCCTGTTACTATTTTAACATAGTATTGTTTATTACCACATGTCAAGCCGCTAACTAGCAGTCTAGATGCTTAAAATGTACAGATGTTAGGTTACATTGAATCCCTGTCCACATTATAAAGCAAAAGTAGGCTCATGATAATCCAAAAGGTGAACTTTGCCAAAAGGAGCTCAATCAAGTAAAATCAAATCAAAGTATGTATCTTCTTTTATTATTTTTTCTTTTTTTTTTTGTTTGTTTTCCAATCTAAGAGATCTTTACATAAAGAAGAAAAATTAAAAAAAGGGTCATGAAAAACGTGGAACGAAAAAAAAGCTTTTGGTATCTCGTGTGGCAAACTCAGGTCCATCATCTACATGTAATTTCAGTTTTCAGTGTGAAAATCTGACACGTGGCTTGTTATCCTGTACCGCCGCAACACGGTGCTTCCACACTATACCGCCGGAAAACAACCGAACACTCCGGCAACTCCCCTAAATCACCAAACAAAGACTGGTCCTCCTCCCGAATGGGCAACATTAAAGCCACGTCAGCATCTCTCCACGTGGACCCCACCATTGATGACGTGTTCTCCATAAATGTAGGAGTTCCCACATCGGAGAACCAACCCAATTCGCCGGCCAGCTCCGAGAAGCCATTGTCATGTTGATAAGCAAAGACGTCACATTCTTCAGGAGATGATTTGTCTGTCATGGTGACGTCAGTGGCCGCAGTCGCCGCATTGTTCTCTCCGGCGGTATTGGTAGAGGTTGTGGGGGTGGTGGGTGTACTGGTGGCAAGAGGATGGTGGTGGTGGTGTTTGGTGGTGGCGGCGGGGAATTGGTGGTTGTGTTCAGAACAGTAGGTAATGAGGAGAGTGGTGGGGTCCAGGCGGCTACGCTCTACTTGTTTTCTGGCAGGACAGCCTTTGGAACTACTACATCGATAATATCCCCTGCGCATGAAACACATGCACCATTTTAAAAGATAGAAATAATAAACAGAGTACTAATAGCCCACCAAAACTTTATAATAGTAAAAAATATTGAAGAACCCATAAAAGTTTGCTCTTTTCACAAATTACATTTTCTTCTAGAAATCCAAAGACAGTGAATTGGACCTTAAGATTAAGTGAATACACAGTATTATCAAACCAATTAGGTGCCCTTTGGTAGGATGTACGTTAGGAAAATAATACATGTATTAGCTAGCTTTGATATTATTAATCCTTTGTTTGGTAGTGTTTTTCAAACCTATAGTGAACCGTGACATTAGCAATACTATAGTTTTTAATACACGGAGTCATGGATAAGCATGTATAAAAACAAAACAACCTTTTCAAAACCTTTAATACACCAAACTAAATAATAGGTAAATAATAATTTCAGCATTACTAATCCTAGCAATACTAATACACCCTATTTAATACTACTCTTATACACCCTACCAAACAACCCCATACACTAAAAGGTATGTCTCCGCTTTTGTTGCATGTTCATTTTCTAAGACTTTTCACACGTACCAAAACATCTTTTAGAGTTTGTGCTCCAAAACATTACATAAGAAATGTAATGCTGAAGTTTATATATATATATATATATATAAACAGAACAAAATGTTATACAAAATGAGGAAGTATATCGAACGCTAAATTGGCACAAGTGTATAATTTTTAACATATTGTTTTACTACATTTATAAAAGTCAAATCCGAAAACAATGAGTGTTTTTGCATTTACCATCATTTATGGAATCCACATCAATGGAGAAGAGAGTGGGCTATGAAGACACTTAGAAGTCGTGGAACTCGAGGTTAGATCAAGTTGTAGAAGTTCATTAAATGTATGGGAAAAAAACTCAAAATTTGTAATGCCACTTCGCTCCAATTTTCTCTAATGTATATTTTCTAGCGTTGTAATGTTATCAATCTGGCCATACTATTGAAAGCAATAATATCAATGGCTAATAAATTATGGAACAATGTCTTGAAAGCGTCCACTCCAAGGGACAACCACATTAATGTTATATAGAAACCCTAAGATTAGTTATATATATTATTAAATAGATGACACTTTAATTTAGAGTTTAAGTTCAATAACCTGACAGTGTTAAAAAGATTTTCCGGCAATTACACATAATCTTTTTCTACAAACATTAATTAGTAATTTTGAAAAAAGAGAATCAATCTTTTATAAAATATTTTAATATACTAATAGTGTAAAAAATTATTTATATTTTTATACATTTTTTTACACTAATAGTGTTAAAAATTATTTACATTAGCAAAGCATTTAACTCAAATCCTCTAATTTTAATTATTACTACTATTTTTTATTTTCACCCTTCCCTAAAATTTATTTCTCTTTTCAGGGTCAGTTAATATCCCATTACACCATAAAGTTGTTTTCGTGTGATCTATAGGTTACAGGTTTGAGCCGTGAAATCAACAGTTGATACTTGTATCAGGGCAAAATTGCCTACATTACAATTTTTGGATACGGCTCTTCCCGAACCCTACATGAATACGGGATACTTCGTGAGCTGCACTACACTTTAGAATTGAACCCCTATCTTAGTGGCATAAATGCTCCAATACTATAAGAAGCAAGTACAATACATGATCCTTTGTGCCTATCCTTAATTGGCTAATACGCTAAAAGATGTAATTAATGGATAATTCAACATGTTAAGTCTGTAAATATAAATTTCAACTGTTGATTGCCAATTACCAGAAAAGGAGCGTGATTAGCAAGGTGTAAGTAGGCGAGTGAAGTACTACTAGCAATGCATAATTTAAACTACTACATTAATTTAATGCAAAGTTTAATTGGTCCATAATAAGATAGTCATCAGCCTTGCGGATAAGAATCAAAACCTTTACCAACTACCCCCCGGCGGCAACTACAATGACTGTTTAAAACAATAATTCTGTCATTATTAATTTTTAAGCTTCTCTTAAAACTTGTCTTACTAACTATACATTTCATCTATGTGAAAAATCTAAAAATAAGTGAAGATAATTAATTTAATTTAATTACCTGGGATAAGGTGACCCTTTAATTGGCTTCTGTCCATATTTCCTCCAAGACCAAGAATCTGGTGGTGGATAAACTTCTCCTTTACTTCGTGATCCATCAGCATCAATAATTGGCACTGTAATTACTTTCTTTTTTGCTCCTCTCCTACTACAAATACAATCAAACCAATACTAATATAAGAAAAATATCCAAATTTTCATTTTTCTCCGAATTCCGTAAATAAAAAAAAAAAGAATAAAACTAACCATAAAATATTTAAAGATTCATTTTCTCAACAACAAAAAAAAAAAAAAAAGAAGAAGAATAATTTACAAACCTTTTTGTAGGAGATGGCATGTTAACTTCAGCAGCTTCATCGCCGGAAAAGGGAGAATCGGCGGCATTATCCGGCGGAGTTCCGGTGGAATCTTCTTGTTTGATAAAAAATGGAGTACTTCTTCTGTTTAACCTATCTTCCATGACCAAAAACTAGCTAAAGCTTATTAATTATAACTTGGACAAAAATCTTTTTAGTTTATCATATAGAAAAGAAAGAAAAAAGTGTTTGTAATGGGATTGCCGGAAAGAGTTGGTATGAAGGTAGTGGAAAATAATTTGTCAAGTTTTGGGTTTTAATACGAGGGACAGTCCAAATTGACAGATTGGCAAAAATATAGTTTATTAAGGACGTGCAAGCAATTAAACATGATAATGTCACATAAGGTGACATGTTCATATGTTGATTAATTATTATTTTTCTAATTAAGGGGCGGGCCCCTTGTCTTAAATATTTCTTTATTCATTTATCCAAGTTGGCCATTGCTATTTTTTTCTTATCAATACTTAATGTAAAATTCTAAAAAATCTTATGTAAAATAAAGGGAACTTTTACAACCAATTATAGCAGGTTATATATTATTTTTCGAATTATCATATCATGCTTGCTAAATTGTATGTTGATATAAGTTAATTTAATCTGATAGTGTAAAAATTTACGTATATGAGTATTATTGTTGCACAGAACTTAATTCCTAAAATAAATGGCATCAGCAAATTGGACTTGGCTTTGTGAGGGTGAGAGGTTAATTAAGTTGCGATAATGGAATATTTTGTACTTATATGGTAGGATGGCTGTGAACCATTATGTCCATCCCAAATCATACGGCAAATATACTTCCAACAAGTTTATCGCTTGTCACGATATATTTAGAAACAGAGTCACGATTTGAAGTTTACGGGTATGACATCGCAATCTTATTAAGTTATTTGGTTCTAAATTATATTTTACATATTCAATGATTTTGAAATAAAAAATCCAAAATATGAACAAAAGTTACTGGATTCGGCCGAACCTGCATCCGACACTATATATATATCTTCTTTAGTTCAAAACAAATTGGATATCCAAATTGTTCCTCTTCCACAAATTTTATACAGAAATTTTGTAGGTAAATTTTTATTCAAATTAGAAGTTAAAAACTAAACTGAGTCCGCTGTAAACATAAAAGTTTAAAAGATGAATAGTTAAATGAATTTGAATTTTTGAGATTAGTACTATTGTTAATGATTTATGAATAATCTCACATATAAAGATTGCCATATAAATTACAAAAAAATGAAGTATATACCAGTCGCTACTATAGCTAAAAATATGTGTAGTTATTTGTTGATTGGCTTAATTACATTATAGATCTTGTAGTTAAAAGTCGTGTTACTAGTTTATTTCTTTTTCTTTTTTTGCTGGAACGACAGTTGAATGTATGAGGTTGTTATAACAGATAATTAACGTTTTTGATTTAATCATTAGCGGCTTAAATAAATGACTACCTAACCTACCAGGCATGCCCCAGCTAATAGAGATTTATTTTAGAAAGAAAAGACCATTCCTTATATAAGTCATAGGAATCCTAGTGAATCATCAATCATGAAATTGTATATTCACATTTAGGTTTCTCCATAGCAGCCCTAGTTAGTATAACTGTGTTCAGAACAGAAAATCAGAAAAGCAACTTAGAACAGAAACATAAAAATATTTCTGAGTCCACAAATTTTTCGTTTGTATTCTTAAGGAATATAATTCACTCACTGTTGTTCAAGATATTTGGATTAATTCCTCCTACGATGAAACGGAAAAACTATTCTGTAATAGAGGCACTACAAATTACAGAGGTTCAGCGAACTCAATAGCGGATCAAATCACACATGACTCTTATGTTTGTTTGGATACAAATATATAAAGAAGAGGCGGGAAATTTCAGATTTTTATGTGAGCGAAAAAAGTTTGAATTCATAGGAATGAAAGGTGTTTACCCTTAAAATCGGATAACAATCAAACTTATAAGTGGTTTTAAGGATATGTGATTTCACTTGGCACAAACTGATAAATATCAGAATTAATGCTAGGAATTAACAGTAAAATAAAGCAAACCAATGTGATGAACAACTATGGCCCTCGAGCTAGACTGCCCTCGAACCAACTGAGTTTGCTTATTGAAAAGTATGAACTTGAACATATTGCCTTGTTATACGTGAATGTAAGATGTTTACAAAATGATTAAGACCCTCTTTATATAGTAGATGAATCCTATTTATGGTATAATTCTAATTACAGAAGTAAATCCCATGATAGGCTAAACATCCGATCTTGACTCGATATGTGCCGAGATTTCCGCCACGATCCTCGCCCAATCGCAGTTATCTTGGCTTTCTGTTATTCAACGTAGCAGGCCTCCTTCGATCTTTCTTGATTTCTTTCTCGCTTCGCTTTCGATCACGGCCAACCTCGATCTTGATCGGCCATTGATCCACGAGCTTGCCAATCCATCTTTGTACCATGTTCCGATATAGCTGGAGCCGGGCCTAGATCTTCCGTCCCGATTTTGGCTAGTCATACGAAATTAGGCAAGTGATTTTGACCGTATACAGATAGACCTCTCATTTTTTGGAGTGCAATGACAATAAACGAATTGAGTCTTCGAATTTTCCCTCGGTTTATCATGACGTAAGCGACAGAGGTGACCGAAATGTCCCGTCGGTTCAGTTTCCCAGGCATTTAAGGCGCGTCAGTTGCTCATTGGCTACTACCAGTATTGAACCGTCATCTTCAACCTATAAGTGCATCTTTCTTCATCTTTAAAACTTTACTTACAAATCTCCTTCACTCTAATCTTCAAAATCTTTGTCTTCTTCAGAGCTTTGTATTTCCAGATCTCTGAATTTCTTTTCTTCTTTCATCTAGCGTTCTTCCCCCGTTTCATCCTTCTCTACTTACAAGAATGGCTAAAACTTCAAAAACCGTCCCCCACAAGGAAAGTGCCTCTTCATTAAAGTCCGCCGGTGCCGCAGTCGCGGTGGAACATCCCCTTGCGGACTTTTTACCGACGAAGTGTGCCACTGCTGCGACTTCAAGGTGGAGAATACACCCTCGACACCGTGTCGGTGTGAACCCATGTCGATGTACATGTGTATGATTATAGAAGGTCTCCTCGAGAAGGTGAAAGAGGAGTGCAAAGATGTAGTAGTGACTAGCCCCGAGGAATCCATCACAACTCATGTGGAAGGGTATCTGAGTGTCTATACCTACCTCTTCACGATAAGTCCCTTAGACCCTATCATCGTTGCCTTTTGCAAGAGGTACGATGTCACTCTAGGACAAATCCACCCGTCGTTTTGGAGGATCGTGATCCTACTCCTACTCTTTGTAAGCAAGATTGAGGGCATCGTTTTACCCTCGATCACCTCATGCGCTTCTACAGCCCCCGGCTTTATCGTGGAGGCATGATCAAGCTTTATCGCCGAGCCACCAAACCCCCTTTCTCGAGCATAGACGAGACCCGAGACCGAGGTTGGATGGGTAGATTTATCCGAATAAAGACTTCATATCTAATCCCCGCCAAAGATATGCCGTTATCTGAAAAGTGGCAAACATGAAACGTAAGTACTGCTTTGCCTTTGAATATCTATTTTTGCCTTTTTGCTTTCTTATCTTCCCCTAATCTAAGTTTTTTGTGTTGCAGTTGTGGCCGTTGTGCCGGAAGTGATCCCCGACCCAAGACAATGGGTCGAGGGATTGGTGTCACAAAAAACTTATTCCGAGCGTGCTTGGATGGAGTTGTCAAAGGGCCAACGGGAGGCCCGTAACCATGGTAATCTTCTTTCCTTAGAAAGGTTTTCATTCGGGTTGTATTATTGTACTTACTCATCTTTTTCATTTCATAGGCCTCGGGAAGGACGCAATGAGGCCCCCCTCTGCTGAAGAAGAGGCACTCCTTTTGCCATCTGCCCTGAAGAAGGGCAAAGAGAAGAAAAGAAAGGAGGCTTCGAGTTCTCCAGGCCCGGAAAAGAAAAGGCCGGAAAGGAGGCCCTGTAAGCCTAAGGGGAATATCATCCATGTATCTCTGGAGTCCGTCCAATGGATAATGGGTAAGACCGAAGATGAAGATAAAGAAGAAGAAACCCTGGATTGGTGACTCGTGTACAAGCTGGCACCGAGGTTCAGAGAACCATTGGACAGGCGGGAGCCGAAGCTGCTTTGCCCCGACATGATGAGCCTGAGCCAGAAAGAGTCGAAGATGCCTCACCTCGAGGTGGGGAGGCTTTCGAGGAGGCAGTCGAGGCCGGTGCAAAAACTGCGCCCGATGCTTCCCGTGACGAAGGCGGAGCCCTAAAGATTCACTTGGGGCAATGGAGATTGGAGACTTCTCCTCATTGCCTTCGTTCTCTGATACGAAAATCAAGGATGGCGATGGAGGCTCACTACGTCGAAGAGGCCCACGAAGAAGAAGATCTTTTCGGTGGCTATTTTCTAAAGTGGAGGATGTCACCGGTCTGGGTGACTTGGATGTACCGAGGAAGAACTCGAATGAGGCTTCCTCGAGCTATAAACTGACCAGCCAATTCCTGGTCCCCAGCGTTGATCTTGAGCGTAACCGACCTCTTATCATCTCGATCCCGAAAGATGCTCAAGTTTTCTCTGCCCTCGTAGGGGTGGATAGCTATCTTCGATGCCTAGTCACTGAAGATGACCAAGCCAAAATGGATTCAGTGGAAGTTGCCTGCTTGTTCAATGAGGTCCAACATGCTCTGAATCGGGTAAGTTCAAGGGCCATTATCTTTTCATGACTTTGATTTGTAGATATCTCTAACATTTCTTCCTTTCTCGTAGGCTTCGGTTTTGCATCATGAGGCCTTTCTTCGAATCCGAGATAAACGAAAGGCCGAGGTCCAGGGCCTCACTAAGAAATGCAATACTTACAACCTTCTTAGTGAGAAGCTTTAGGTAGACCTCGTGGAGGCTCGAGATGCGCATGCTGAGATGGCCGAGCAGGTATTCCGAGTTCTTCATGATAGTGAGGACAAGTCGGAGATAACAACTAACAATCCCATTCTGCAGATTCGACAAAGGCTTGAACAGATCAAGGGCCTCCAAGGGCAAATAGATAAAGTGCGAGCCGAAGCCGAACAGTTCAAGGGATGTATGGACATTCTGGTTGCACAAAAAGGAAAACGTTCAAGCAGAGCTGGATTCGGTTAAACCGCAGCTTCGATATGTAAGAGAGAATGCCTTGGTTCTGGCGAAGAAGGTCGAGGAACTCGAGTACAATTTAGCCAGTTTGTCCAAA